ACAATGTATGTTCCCTGCTCCTAAACCACAGATTAAAATCCCACGTGGCAACTGGGCAATGCATCTCTTAAGTATCTGTGCCTGAAAGGCACATTGGAAATGTATGCAAATGCAGCTCATCTCTATCCTGCTCCACTGTTCTCACTCCCTTTTTTCCTTCCTTTATCTTGACATGTTTACTATTTCTTCTACACTGTGCTTCACTGAATAGCAGATCAAACTTCAAAGCAACTTTTAGTTTGAAATTTGTTTCCAAGCTCCTAAGCTATTCTTTTTCTGACAGCAGTGGATAAGAAATTGTCACTACCACTGGTGACATGTCATCGGGAGATACAGGAATAACAGATGGGCAGCACTGAGATAACAGGAAGTAACTTCTTTAAAAGATTGTGTTCACATCACCAACTATGAGAGCAGAGGTAGAATGACCCCCAGAAGGGAATCCAATCCACTCAGGTCTTTCTGACTCGCAGATGTTTTTTCTTATTTATTTCCAAACACAGATCATATTGGATCAAAATAATTTAAAGTTTTAAAACAGCTATGTTAGAGTTGGTAGTAACTATTAATGGGGATTAAGAAAAGGATGAATGGATTTAGTCACTAACTTCAGTGTTTTAAATGATACCACTAAAATGATAAAATTATCATAAAAGATAAAATTATTGCTGATGTTCCTGGCATAACTGAATACCATTAATAAGAGTCAAGATTCCTTGATTGCAATGTGGGATCAATGGGTTATGACATTTTGATGACAGGCTGATGGATCTGACTTTCTAAATGAAGAATGATGGATTATGACTTCTCAAAAGTATGGCTCATTATCAGCATATCTAGGCAGCTCTTGACACCTACTATACATAACACCTATTATGGAATGTCAAAAGTCTTCACTTTGGGTGCATGGTCATGATTTCTGAGGAAATTAATTGTTCTTCTTACTGCAAGATGCTGTAGCATATTGCACAAAGCACAACAATGCCTGCTATCTACAAGGAAAGCAGCACAGAAGCCAAGAAAAACTGATTTTTTAGCCCTCAGCACATTGCATATCTAACAGATGGTTCACAAGCCTATATGAAAACTGCACTTCCTGATGGCAGTGGGAAAATTATATAAAGCATGACATGGGCTTCATTTGCTGCATTCTATAAAAGTATAAGAACACAAGCAGGGATGAAGCAGATCTATAGGAAAACAGATTTCTTGATTTCAGAGACCTGCATTAGTGCTAATTACATTTGAAAGTCCCCTGCTATGCTGCATTTCATATTTTAAATTTCAAAGAGATGTGACAGTGTTTTATTAACAGTACATTAGTAAAATTCAAAGTTTTGGTCTAGGGTGTAAATTCTGTTGTGCAAAATTGTTGTACTGTGGATAATGTGGATGCTGTCATGGAGAGTATGTCAGATGCAAGGAATAGTTATAGTAATAAAATAGTGCCTGAACTGTCTGGCCCAATGTCCCATCCTGTACTGAGTGCTATTTTTGAAAGAAGTTTATATTACAGGAGAAACTGCTAAATATAATTTTAAAAAGGTGTTTTGAATGTGGTCTGTTAATCAAAGCATGGTGTTTTCTTGTCTCCTTCAGAATTCTTTTCAAAGCTCTGAGTCACTGAAGGAAAATGAGTCACAGCTGAAGTTTTTTCCTGCCTGACAGAGTGAAAACAGCAAAGAGCCTGGAAAAGACAGATTTATCCAGGAAGATAGAGCACCCAACCAGCGTCTGCTACGAGCTTCTGAATCACTAGATGTAGATATGCAGGGTTTCAAACAGGCATTTCAAACAGTTTCAAACCACCATGTTAACATTATATTAATTTGGCTTGGGGCACATCATAATGTATTGATTTTCCATCTCGAACACTAAGATGTTAGACAATTACAAGTTGAAGAATATTACTAATTCTGCCAAGTCTTTCCAATTATTTTGTCTCCCAAAGGACAAAGAATACAGAAAAGCTTCATACTGAGAAAATTACCTCTTTTTACAAAAAAAAAACCCAAAAAAACAAAAAACCCAAAAAACCAAAAAAACACAAAAAACCAAAAAAAACCCAAAAAGAAAGAAAAAATAATTAAAGGAAGAAGTATTGTGAATAAATATTCTTTTAAACCAAGGAAGGATCAGCTGAAAAAGAATTCTTTTCCCCTACTGGAAAACAGTGTCTGGCTAAAATAAGGTGCCATTTATTCAGGCAGGGATTTACCTTGGAATGCTCTTAGTAGGAGCTGGACTTGAACCTATGGATCAGCTTTGGAATAGTCAAGGCTTAAAAATAGCTAATAATTACTTAATAAATAGTAACTGTTACCAAACTCGTCTCTGCTTTGGAAGGTCAGTGAATTCCAGGTAGGCTCACCATTTCATGTCTGTGCTTGCAGAACCTGTGCCAGAATGGTGCTGGAGGAGTGGCAATTTCCAGCACTTGCTGATCTCATGGACTTGCCATTTCCTGTGACAAACCAGGAGGTCTCTGCTGGATTGGGAAGGAATGTTCATGTTGGTGGCATTGGCTGACAGGTGAGTCACAATTTGCTCCTCTCTGACCTGGGCCCAAGCACACACGAGGAGCCCGGTTCCACTTGGATCTGTTCTTATGTCTGCACTGACTGGGGCAACTGATTGCACAAATCACAGGGCAATGGACATCTGTCCTGGATTTCTGCTGCTGGAGCCTCCCCCAGCAACACCCAGAGTTTCAGTTTGTATAAATCAGTGTAATGATGAGTGTGTGTTTTCAGGAGAGCCACTGATCTGTGCTTTACCAGATCTTGAGACATTTCCTAACATTATGTCACCATATCAACTGCAGAGAAATCCTAGTAAGCAAAAATTGGATCAAGACCTAAATGTCCTAGGCTGCTATTTCTTAAAATTCAGTTTCTTTTCTAGGAAAAAAAAAAAAACCACAACAAAATCTACCCAGATTTGGTAGATTTGGTGTGATGAACAGTTCATATCTGCTAACTGAAGCCTTCTAAGCAGATCATTGATTATCAAATTGAAACCAAAATATTTCTTCATCCTTAATGGAGAAGTCTACAATTTAATAGTGGGTTTAAAGAAATTGCCCTGTGTATCTCCAGAGTTCCCTGTTCCTCTTGTCCAGCTGTGGCATTATGAATGGTTTACAGAAGAGAACACTGTTGTCCATAATTTTTACAAACAGAAAGAGGCTGAATCTTTACAGCAGCTCCAGCACTGGAGCTCCTGGAGAACTGCAGAGGGCTGGTGCATCCCCAGGAGAGTTTGCAGGCCCCTCTTGCACCCCTTCCCATCTGTTTGCTTCTCTGGTCCCCAAACTGTCCCCTGTCTGCTGTCACAGGGTGCATTGTCCTTCCACAGCTGTGTGCCTGGTGTTCACTTAACAAATCCCTAAGACAAAGACAGAAGTCTTCAAATAAATCGCTAAAATTCAGCCACATGGCATCTCCCTGACTGCTTCCCTTCCACCTGCATGTCAATTGTTTATTTTAATATTACTCCTTTGGTTTTACCCTCTCTGGAATAGTTCTGCATAATTTTTATTCTACCAAATCAATGAATTAATAGTCAGTGAAGTTTGTGAAATGGCTGGTCATGGGGTCAGGTGAGGGTGAGGCTCACTGGGCTCTCCAGTATGAAGTACATTCATATCTGCCAGTAACCAATAAAGGCAGGCTTAGAAAAATCCCAAATCCTCATCTCAGTGAGTGAGGTAGCTCATCCCCAGATGCTCAGTTTCCAGTTTTAGGAAGTATGTGGCTCTCAAACTTCCAGGCAAATATGAACCCAGGATGACCAAAGCAGATACTTGGATGTGCAGAGCACTTGGGACAATTACCTTATTGCCTTATTCATTCCTGTGAGGTGTTAACCCAGACACCCAGGAATGGTAATTTAGATGTCACGGGGAGTTATTGAACTCCTCATGTAAGAAAGATCTGTACAATTTGCTGTGAGTGACATCTCAGTGTCACAAGGGGGTGATAGCTGGATGACAGTGCCACTTACTTGTTCCTTCCCCCATCAAAAAGAAGAAAAACTAGAAAACTTAATTTGTTATATTAATGATTTTTTTAAAAAAATCCAGATTGTAAGAATGTTTTGCACTTGGTGCTGTACAACTGAGGAACTAAACATGACCCCTTCCTCAAAAAGCTTTCAAAGAAAAACTGCACTAGCCACACAAAGATGGACTAACACAGTCTTGGTCAATATAGTAGTCTGTGAGTTAAATATTTGCTCATTTGCATGGCATAAAATGAGTGTCAGTTCTAATTAACTTGGTTAGAAAGCTGGAAGAGTAGCACTGCCAGGACAAGCTGGAGAGCAAATCAAAGACAGGCTAGAGCTGTGTAATTATCACAAGAGTTGGGGACAAACAGAAGATTCTCCTATGCAGGAAAGGACTTCCTGCCCTCTCCTCATCCTGATTCCCATTTTGTGTTAGTGTGAGGGTCTGAAGAAATTAAGAAGAGTAGAAGCTTCAATTAAAACTTAAAACTCTTGTGAATGTAACTGGGAGACTTTCACTCCTGCATTGGTCATGGAATCTGGAAGAAGTGCTGCTTCTTAAAGAAGTAAAATGTAAGATTTGGAGAAGGACAATTTCAGTCTTAGAGCATTAGCTCTTACTCCATGAAAATTCCTTTAAGCCACTAATTCAGACTAATAAATAACCAGAAAAGTAATCTATGGACTACTACTTAGGCCACCACTTGAGTATTTCAAGGATATAACTTAGAAATGTGATTTCCCCCACCCCCATCCCACAGAAAACTTGTGATTTTATGTGCTTTTTTATGCATGTATTAAACAAATGGCACAGCTGAATAGCTTTTCTTAAAAACTGGACATTCACCAAAAAGAAGTTTGCCAGCACAGACAATTAGGCTTTCTTCTTTTAACAATAGATTGACTGACTGGCACATTTGAAATGCGAGCGTATTTTTTATTCCTCCGTTCACCCTTTGAGCTGATAAACATGAACAATGGGAAACAGCTGGGACAGGAAAACATTTTAGTTTGTATTTTCAAAGCAAGCAAGAAATAAACCCATCAGTGAGAGCCAGATCACATCTTCTGCCTTAGGGGTAGTCAGCAATTGGGGGGAAAAATACGATCCATATTTTTAATCAAACATTACATATTTATTAATGTGCAGCTGGCCTATTGTGTGCATGATTTTTTTTCTTTAACGCTGTGCTGCGTCCGTCAGGCTGACATTGTTCTGTAACTGACATTACTCTATAAGGATCTGGAAATGCACAGATTTAATAGGAATCATTGAGACAATTGCTTTCTGTATTATTAGGTCTGTGTGACGTAGGTACCATCTGAAATTCAATTTTAGAAGAAAAATAAGATATTGTTCTATCAAGGCAATTTTGTGCACCTGTGATACAGTAAGAACATACACCCCCATGCTCCTATTTTCCTCCTCACTCATCTAACTTCATGTCTGTTTAATGATACATGCCACTCTTTTGTTAAAAATGTTTGGCCAAATGTATTTTGATGCTTATTGAGATTAAACTTTCAGTACATCTCCCTGGTAGCAAAGGTTGGGCTGTTCATTAGTTGGAGGTTTGGCCTTGTCAGGTTCCATTGACTGCTGGCTAAAAGGATCACTTTATCATCATTTGTCTGCAATGGAGACAGTCTTTATTCAGCCTTGATTCCTCTGGGGTCACAGCTGTCATAACTTCACGTGCTTTATAATGCAGACCCCAGTTTCACAATCCCCTTAGGTAATTGTCTAATAGATCCAGTTTACCTTAATATAGATAATATGTTATTTACAAAGAAATACAAGGGAAAGTGAGGGACAATATTGCTCAAAACATCCCCCTCCTAACCTATTGCTTGGGATCAATCATTTGGAAATGATGTTAAACTCAGTTCTGATTTTGAACCCAAAAGGGAAATATACCTCTTTTTCTTACTCTCTTTTACTCTGATCCTTCAGCTGCAAATCTCTAGACTGAGCCTAGAGATTTTCTGCTGGTGAAAGCTGATATAACTCTGCAAATTTTGATAGGTCTATGGTGTTTTGGAGAATGAGGCCTTCATTTTGCCTTACAGTTCAGATCCTGCATATTTTGTGTGCTGGAAACTATAGTTCAATTTAACTAGAACAGTAAGTCTGACTTCAGGTCAATGTGTTCACCTTTTGAGGCAGAAACCAGCAAGGGCAAGGATGGGCTACTGCTGCCCCTTCTTGTCCAAGGGGGGCACCCACCCTGGTGCTCTGAGGAGGGTCTCTTTCCTTCTGTGGAGCTCCTCCAGTTTTGCATCTCTTGACAAAGGAACTGGAAATGAGACCATTTCCTCCAAAACAAGGCCAAAGGATCAGCTTGTCTCCATTTGATTTAGTAAAACCTGAAATCTTTTTACAAAACCTGGAAGAGCTCCATCGTGAGCATGTGAGAAGCTCATTTTTGAGTGCCTTGGTAACCAGTGCATTCCCCTAGCAGGTCAGCTGCTGCCTTTTTCAGAACCAGAAACAGCCTGGCTCCCCAGAGGAGATGGGCTGAGCAATTTCCACATTTAGTTTTCTTTAAAATTCTTATTAAAAATTAGTGGAAAAAATTGGAGCTTGATTTTCACATTGGTACTACTACTTTTACAAAGTGCTGGCAGCTTCAGTTTCTCTAAATAAGATCTACTTCTAATATATTTTATTTTGTATCTTTTAAGGATTACACAGAAACAATTGCATACTTCACAGAAAGTAGTTGCCACATTATGTTCTTAGTATCCCTACCAATAAAAAATTACATTTTACTATTTTTCAATAGGAAGAATGATGTTGCCAAAGTATCCAGAAAATGCATTTAACAGAGACAGTTCTACACCAACTTTCTAATGCAGAGCTATATGGGTCCAGACAGATCCCTCTTTGAAGGTAACTGCTAAGGGCAGCAATTTCTGAGACTTTTAATCATTAACAGAAATCCTTTATGTAAAGTAAACATAATGAAAATAAGCACCTTGTGGTGGGAGTCTGAACTTCAAGAGGGAAGCTGTACTTTCCATTTGTGAAAGTTTGTGGATGCTCAGATCCACAGAATGGTCCCACACCTTCCTCTGCAGGAGGATTCAAACACCAAATCCTTTTCATAATTCACTGACTGGCTATTTCTTTTACAAAGTTTTCCTGAATGAGTGTCCATATTTTTGAAACAGAACATGTATTCCATCAATGGCATCTTCTCACAGTAAAGTTTCTTTCAAATTCCACTCAGTCATACCTTGTGTGTGAGATTATGCACCAGCATGTGTTGAATTTCCCAGCTGATATCTTAACTAAAAGCTGATTTTCATTTGAGTTTTCTAATTCAATGCCACAACTCATTGCACTGTAATATCTTAATTACAGTAGGAGATTGATAAGTAAACAAGGAAATGCAGCTGTAGTGTTGTGGAAAGTCACCCTTTAATTATTAGCTTTCATTTATTTTTTACTATTTTTTTCCCAAATATCTTCCATAGAATAAATTAATTCAAAATAGCTATAGAGCAAATTAACATTACACAGCTGGAAAAAAAGCAACAAAAATCCTCACAACCCTCAAAGCAATCTTTTAAAGGGTTGCATAAAAACTGCATATAAATGCCTGTTTCCATGTGTACTGCTGCACCATCCATGAAAACAGCCTTTAAGACAACTCATCTTACAAAGGAAAATGTCACTAGATATAGTGTTGATCATTAGAAGCACTACAGTGCATTCGTCTGCTTGCACCCCACTTTGATTACTATACAGCAAAGATGGCCACAAGCACTCAGAAAGTTTTATTGAGGCTTAAATCTTCATTCAAATGATGTAAAGGGGCATTGAATGAAGATTTAGAACTCTATAAAGCTGCTTGGCAGTGTCTGTGGCAATCTATGCCACATAAAAACTGAAATGCTTCTACTTTCTTATTGAAACATTTCTACTGTAATTCTTCAATATTAGGTAGCAGCCACAGTGTTGGGACATTACCACATCTGGGAGTATTTCTCTTACTGAGGGTTTGCCTGCAATCAGTTGTGCAGGATATTATAGAATGTTGATGTCTAGGACATAATGGAAGAGGAATTGTTACTGCAATTACATATTATTATGCTTTTCAGAAGATAATGTGGGTTCATTCATGTGAGTATTTTGAACTAGCAAATACCCTAATTGCTTACATGTCTGTTATAATCCTAAATCCAGTTGACATATCTGACGTACTGCTGCATTTTAATCTGGCCACTTGCACGTGTCCTCTTTATGATTTTCCTCTGACCTGCCTGAACTGTGCAAACAAGGAACAGGAGTGTCTTATTGCCTTTGCAGTTTTGGTCTGAGTAAACACCCAGGGGGACAGAAAGATAGCACTGGAACCAAGTGCACTTTTTTTCAGGAATATCCAATTAGCCTGTGCAAGAGCAGGGTAGGTACTAATGAACTGATTGTGCTATAATGACAGATTTGTGAAAGAGTGTGTGTTCTGCTCCAACTCTCCTCTCACAACGTGTTGGATTGATGGAGAATGTGTGGCAAAGTATTCACCCATTCACTTAAGCAGAAAACAAAGGCAGATGATTAAGAAACATCAGTATTCTGAAGCAGCAATCAAACTGACCCTGCCAAGGAGTGAAGAACAGCAAGCCCAGCCAAAAAGTGCTGCAGTTGCCTGGTGTTAGAACTGCAGGTGTACAGGCAGCACTTTTTCACAGACTTTCCTTAGGCAGCCAGCAGGGCCAGACAACAACAGCTCACTCCATGAACAGCATGGTGCTTATGGCAGTCTCATGTGCACGGGGAGTGACAGAAAATGGTCAGAGAAAGATGTGCTTTTAGAAATTCCTGCTTAATAATCCACTAGAGGGAGCTTATGTATAACCTCTGCCAGGCCAATTATCTCAGAACCTGCTCTTCCATAATTAACAAAGGTGAGGTACTTCTGAGGGGGATACCTGCACTGCTGTTCTCTTCTTGATGTGTCATCCTGGAGCTCAGGAATGGCACTTTTGGAGTCTCCAGCTCTATCCAGAAGAGCAATTTGCTTTTCTCAAGTGGAATCAGCATTCTCATTGGCATCAGCTGGGATTCACCTTCATCACTGACTCAAACCTGAGAAAAAACAGCCACTGCTGAGTGAGGACTTAAAGCATTAGCAAAGCTTCACCTAACCTATCCTTCTGTCCTTGTTTCAATTCTGACTGCAAAACAAGAGTTCAGTAGCCACAGAAGAAACTGGCAAAATACTGGACTTCAGACTTGGCTTCAGTTTATTTCAGTAGGACAAGGCTTTCAGCACAGGCTCTGCCTGGCACTGCTTGTTTTCCAACTGGAAACTGCCTCCTTTCTCTGGGAGACAGCTGGGATCAAAATTTGTGTCCTTGACAATATTTAACATGCAAACACCTGCAACTATTTCCTATTGTGTTAGCTAATAAAAAGACAGAAATATCAACTTTAGTTTAGCAGCAGAGATTTACTTGCAATTACAATTCTAGCTAAATCTAGACATAACACCTTTCAAGCTACATACCCACATAGTACAGTCTAAGTAGTCAGATACACTATCAAAAAGCTTATCATAAAATTTGAAATTGCTGTATCCTTAACACTCGTTGACTCTTTTTCTTTCTGTTTTTTTCTGTTGGAAGAGAAAACTTATGACTACACTTCAGCTGTCACCAGCTTTCAAGGTTATACTGATAGGAATGAGAAACATATTCCTAATCTGCATACCAATGCATTGAGAATGCAAAGGCAGGCTTTTTGCCATTGAATAGATGATGATAAGGTCTTAAGTCTTTTGAATTTCTTGTGTTGTACTTGTATTATCATATGATTTCTTAAGCCAAGAATGAATATGTAAATTTCTTGCCACTGACTTGCTCCAAAATAATGGACATTAGACTTGCACAGTGGCAATTCAGAGTGTAAAATTGATTAATATTTGTTTTCAAAATGACATGCAATGATGTATGGATCCTTTTACAACTTAAATTAATACTTTAAAGAGATGAATGGTCTCTACAGAGGATGTTAAAGTTCAAGCTGAGAAATTTGCATATTTATATTACAACCAACTGATAATAATTGTCGAAACAGAATGTAATGTGGTTCGTTTTTCATTTTAATCTGGTTGTACTCAAACACAGGACCTCATTAACTTCCAGCAACTAATACAGCATTATCAGTCCCCATAAACCAGGCTTGCCTTGAATTTATGAATTTCAAAGACTATTTCCAGTGGTGAATTGCTGTTAAACACTGGGTCAGTCACTAGCAGGTGAACTCCATGTCAGATGCTGTAGAAGCATGAAAGTTACCTGGGCTGAAGGGCTGGAGAATTCCATGGCCAGGTGCCTACTTTGGCTCCTACACTCAGAGCCAAAATTAAGGTGTGATATAAACATCTTGCCTTTGGAAGCTAACTCAAAGACAGACTGGTTTCCTCTGGATGACCAAGATCAGGAAAGCCAACTTCATACATTTCCTATGTTAGGCAGTATTCTTTAACACTAAAAAAAAAAAAAAAAACCAAACAAAAAAAAACCCAAAAAAAAACAACAACAAAAAATGAGCAGGAGATCTTTCACTGAGATATAAGTTTTGCAAAAGGAAAATACATAAATTGTGATTGAGTAGATAAGCAAACTTGGATGATATTGAGGATACTGCCCAAATAAATACTATCCACATGGGTTTAAGAAACAGTAGCAATAGAATTAGCAGCATATTGCTTTTCTGAGGAGAGAAATATAACATAAGCATGCTGTCAACATGTCTTGGATAGTGCATTATAGGTATTTTGTGGGTGTTCTTTTAGATTTCCAGATGTATGTACACCTCTCTAAGAATGAACAGTTAGCAAGAAACTTCACAGCTCTGTGAGTTTCTTGTGGTGAAATTGATACTGAATCTTCTAATAACAATGCTTGTTTCTTTAGCTCACTAGAAGCTGATGGCTATAAAAAGAGGAAGCTTTGCTTACAGTGCATCACCTTCAACTGTTTTTAATTTTCTCTCATAAATGTTAGTTAAAGGCTGGTGTGACCCTTGTGTTCAGGAGATCTGGTGTGTGACTGCTCTGGTGGGATGGAAGAGCAAATGTGCCTTTCCTTTAATGCTGTAACAACTACAGGGAGCTCAGGGCTCAAAGGGGATGCCTGACAGCTGGCAATAGCTGGAGTATGATGCATTTGGAGTCTCCTGACTGTATTCCTACAGGGAAGGGGATAACATTCCCAAACTAACTTCCTCTAGTGCAGATGCTGTCTTTAGGCAAAGAACAGAGCACATGGGTCAGCCCCATGGCTGCTGTGTGCAGTACTGGGAAAGTCCCAGGAGGCTGTGAAAAAGAGGAGGAACACTATAGAAACTCTGTAAAGAAAGTAATGTGTACTTTGCTAATAAGAATACCAAGAACTTTTACTTAAGTGAATGAAAAGCTCTAAAATGCCAATACCTGGCATTATAACTTATTTCCTAAGAAGCCATCCAGACTTCCCATTTGAACCTCACAAAAACCTTTTTTATAGATATTTCTATCAGCTGACAAATCCCTGGAGGACAACATGTTCCAGCCTGTTCCAACTGCACAGTGATTGAACATTGATTTGTTGCAACTTTATAATGGGGCAAGAATTGACTCTCTGGATGCTTCTCACAAAAGAAGTCCAGAGAAGAGAACAGGAAGATGCCTTGTTGAATTCCCAAATTTGTTATTGAGTGAGCTATGCTGCATCCAAGCCACCACAAAGCTTGAAAACTGATTAGAAAAAAGGGCAGGCAGAGCAGTGAAACATCTTCTTCAGCATACAAACTCAGCCATACTATATGTTGGTAACTAAATGATGACTAAATAATTGATTTTTCATTGTGAAGAGTAGGTACCTTCCTATAGAGCTCTGTAGTGGGACCTGTGCTGTAACATTTTCACAACTGACTTAAGAAAAAAGGAGGAGTGCACATCCTGGTGGCAATTTAATATCTAGTAGAACATTACCAGGACAGTGAAAACATAAATTGACCAAAGCTTGGTGAGGAATCTCTGAAAAACTTGGTGATAAAACAGCCAAAGAGACAAGAGGCTGACAAAAAAGCAAGCGTTGCACAGGTGGGGGAAGGGAAGAGAAAACAATACCCCAAACCAGAAACACAGTATGGCACCCTAAATAATTAATTATCACTTAGCAAAGTGGGAGAGTAATTATGGACAGTAAACATTAACTCAATGCTTAGGTGAGGAAGGGAAAAAACATTATTTATACACAGCATCCCTGACTGATGAATACTTTTCTGTGTTTGATCTCAAAGGTGGTATTAGAGAATAACATAGAGAAAAATAATAATGACAACAACATTTTGGAAAAGTTACTGAAAAATTAATTGGATAAGATTCCTTTGATAAGGACAGGAAAGCTTGAGGAAGGTTTTGTAAGAAGTCTATAAAAACACTCCTTAACAAGTAAAGGTGATTTGGGAATGAATGGTCACCATGTCTCATAATACTACATCAATTAGGGAGCAATCTGGGAAATTACAAACCAGCAGGTATGTAGAAATACATATCACTTTACACGTTGCCTATCTTATCAAAACAAAGTCTTGTACGATATTTGGATGTTAAAATTGTGTGTGGGTTCAGAAGATGACTGGAGAAAATTCAGACAAGAAATGTCCATCAGAGATTATTAAACACAATGATGCAGATCTGAACTCCAGATTGCTGGGAATAGTAAAACTGCCATGGGGAAAGCTTCATTTCATTGCTGCAGCCCTTTGCCTGTTTTTGCAGACATCTGCAGGGCCAGTCTGTGGGGCTGGCTGCTTGCACAGAGCCCTGCTGGGCTGCAGTGGCGGGCAGCAATGGCCAGAACTGGAACAGCAATTCCTGTCCTGCTCCAGGCTCAGTGAAGCAGATCACAGAACATTTTGCTTTTCAACCCCAACAACCATACTGGCAGAATTTTCTACTGTAGCAAAATTCCTTACCAGTGCACCAAGGGTTTTGTAGTACAAGTTCCAGCAATCCCTATGAGGCAATGAGGGCAAGTTAAGCCATCAGAAATATATATTTACACGTGGAAATTGTTAGTAATACTGCTCTTCTTTTCCCCAGAGACAACTCCATTTCCACAGCCTTGAGAAGCACATGCACACACACACAGACACAGAGAAACAATCAATAGATACACTTAGAGAGCCCCTTACAGCATGTCATGCTCCACGGATTTTGATAATATCAATCATAATTGAGTTAGATAAAATCCATCTGACTTTCAGGATGCTGGGGTCAGCTGGGGACGCAATGCCTCACTTCACATCAATTACCACATGTAGTAAGGTGGTGGTAAGCAATCCCATTTGATAGTTTGCAGCTATAAATAATTATATGGCAATAGCAGTAAAGTTGGCTCTTGGGCACAATACAGAATCATGAATTTTCATTTACTTATATCTCAGAAGCTGTTAGGCCTCCTGGTTTGAAATGTGAGTCTCTGATTAGGTGTATCATTTTTCTATTAATACAGTATGTACAGCTGGTAGGTGCTTTTGAATGACCACTTTATACTTTTTCTTATTTTGTGAGAATATTTTCATTACAAATATGACCACATGATGCACAAGGATTGATTAGAAATTGCTGTGACAAAGAAAACTTGGTTTCAGTCTCCTTTATTATCTTTCATTCAATTTAGGGTCTGTCCCATCTAAGTCTTTGCAGGATTTCAGTAAACTGGCTTTTTTTTAGATATTGTATAATGAATTCTCAGCAATTTGAAAACATACAGAGTAAAGCAGGTTTATTAATCAGAAGAGTAGTGCAGAAAGGTTCCAAAAAAGATCAGATATTTTTTGTACTTCCTTGCTTTGCCTGGATACCTGTTCCTTTTAAAATGCTGGTTTTAGTACACATTCTGTATTTTTAAGAACATTAGTCAACAGAGGCAGAATGGACATAAAGTCAGATTAGGAATAAGGTAGGAGCGTGGGATGGAGTTTAGCTGCTTTAGGTGTGAAGATCAGAAAGAACCAGGCTGAGGAACACCTAAGGCCTAAGGAAATCTGGACAGGTACAATAAGAACAGGATAATGGAGCAGAGAACTGGAAGAAGTACAAAGGCCAAGTCTTCCTAAACATATCAAGGTATCTCTATGGTCCCTAAAAATGCAATGAAATTCATTTGACATTTTCAAAGCAATGTGGAAGTGGGGGCTGGAAGGATGTACAAAGCCCACCTGAGAAGAAGAAACTCACCACAAGCACCACCTCTCATCACAGATCAAAGAATGAACAGAGGAACATTTCATGCTCTGTCTCAGAGATTTGTGTGTTGGAAGAGGGGCTGATTTCACTGAGGAGCTTGTTTTGAGAAGTGGTCTGCCATAGAGAGGGGTTGCAGAGCACTCCCCCACAACACTGCTTCCAGTTTGCTGGGGCTGGAGGTGATGAACAGGACACGGCAGGGAAAAACTGCCCTGGGGCAGTGCCTGGAACCAAATGATGTGAAATGGGGTAACAATGTCTGTGCAATACCAGGCAGGATTTAACAGTCAAGAAAAGAAAAAAGATACTTCAGCAGCAAGATGGTTGGCATGGGGACTGATTTTAGGAGTCTTGCTCTTTCTTTCACTCTGACCTGAAGACCAGTTGTGAAAACCATTAGCATTTGATCATTAAGGAAAATCAAAAATTGTTCTGCAACCTGAGAAAGAATTAATCTAAGAAAAAGTTTTCTAAACAGGAGGAAGATTAAGTGCATTAAGGATGTCATAGATATTTGAACAAGAGTCAATGATTTAAAGGGAAGGCAGATTATATGTGCCAAAGGAATGCATAGTTGTCACTAATTCTAGATGAGTCACTACAAAACATTTGAATATAAAAGGGAAGGCTTGCTGTAGGATCAGGTAAGAACTGTATGCTTAAATATGATTTGATAGGACAGACCTAATTTTAGTAATGCAACCTATGTAAAAATTGGGCATCCATTGCTTTGGGAGGCCCTGGTCACAGCCCACAGAGCAGCATCTTGCTGATCAGAGAACTGGTATTTAGCAGCATGAACTGAACTGCAATCAACAAGGAGCCTGATTTGTGTTCTAAATTGGTGTTTAGCAGCATGATCTGAACTGCAATCAGGGGAGAACTTACAGCCTTTTCTAGGGGGAGCAAATGGATAATTTCCAGTCTCATTACACCAAATATTTGTAGCATCTTAAATTAGATTGGAAAAGATCCTAAATTATTTTAACATGAGATCTGTAACAGAACTTTTTGAATATATTTTAGAGCAAAAACCTGCAGAAATGTAAAGGTTCTAGTGAAAGAATTACTCTAAGCATGTCTTTTATAATTTTTCACATTATAAAAGAAAAATCTCAGAAAAGCCATTGTCAATAACAAGTAGGGATTTTGTTGCTGTTTTTTACTCTGTTCCTTCATTAATTTCTTTGCTCTATAGCTCACTGCAGTACCTGCATGAATTGTTTTTTCTTCTGCTTCCCAGAAAAATTTCAACACATCTTGATAAGAAAGGTGTATTGCCTTGTGTCACAGGCCAGTTTCCTGAGGTCACTGCTCAGAAAATACTTGATCATAGCATCAAATAATAATCCCTAGCCATATTCAAGGATTTGGTGGCCTTACAGTGACCCTGATGCCCTGTGCATCATCCCACTGGCACTGCTCTCCCTGTAACTCTGTCATCAATCTGATATTATACCCCAAATACAATATTGCACATTATCCTCACAATTGGATATTCCAACAACCACCTCCCATGCTGGTTTTGTACATTTTGTGTTTGTCTTGTGTTTTATTTCCTCTCCTATCTCCGTCACAGCCAACGGTCACTGAGAAGATCTGGCTCCCCGGCCTGTTGCCATTGCTCTGCATATTCATGAGCAAAATCTTTCCATATCCACATGGCAAACCTTTCAAACTGTCATAAAGAAGAAATAATCACCTTTTCTTTAAAATCTAACAAAGCCCACCAGAGCTGTGTTCTTTGTATAATAGTTAACATTGTCACTAGTAATCAATTTATTTTACTGGTAAAGACAGTATTCTCATGACAAGTCAAAGACCTTTGGAAACAGTACATCTGTGCCTGCTATTTAAGCACACACAGACACAAAGAAGCAGAATATATTAGAAACAAAAAATATGTCAGCTTGTATAATGGTCCCATTGTTTGCTCTACCAGAGAGGGATTGTGCCATAACATATGATGCTGAATGTGCTTTTCTTGTCCTCCAGCCTTCATAATAAAGTATTTGATGCAAATACTCTAATCACATGGAGAAGATGCGGATGTGAGTTGTCCTTCCTTTCACTGCTATCCCTGCTGCCTCAAGAAATATATTTTTTATGAATATTAAAAAACCCAAAGAGCAAATTGATGGAATTCTACTTTAGTGTGTTACTTTTAATAGCAGGTGCCTGATTCACACTTGGCTCAATATGAGCCCCTCAGCCAGACACTGGAGCTGCATCACAGCAATGTTCAGCAAATGGTGCCTCTCTTGTGCCTTCTCCATTAGCCTGATTAAATATTTTGAATAGGATAACCCAGAAAAGGTAAAAAAGGCCTAGAGAGCAGCATATATCCTATGAAATTGCTTCATATATAGCACTGTAACTGTATGCAGCCCTTTGTAGCACTTCCTAATGGGTAGTGCCCACAATTTACAGAAAAAAAGTGGCTTTCCAGAGTGTAGGAAGGGGTAGAACAGGTCAGTTCATTCATTGATAACACTTCCTCCTGTGCAGGGGAAGTCTCAACTCTAAGGCGCAATTTCAAATACACAAACTGGGAAGGAGCATAATTAATTATGCTGCATGGACCATAGAATTACCCAGTGGTAAAACAGTTAGTCTACTTCAATATTTCTGTTCCTACTCACTCATTTATTAATGCTTGATAAAGAATAAGGAACATCTGTCCATGAGAGAAAGACAAAGGGCAGGAAAAACTTTGGAGAGGATGATGGCCTGTAATAAGGACTGGCAGCAGAGAGAAGTGACAGGTCCATCCCAGCCACACCCCACAAAGTGCCATTCTCTGTTGACAGGCAACAAACCCCTTGGCAAGGCAAGCTTGTCCCTTTCCTGGCTGTGCACACAGCTCTGCACAGCTGGAATCTGCCAATTTCTCTGTGAGGGGAAAAAGGGTCCCCCATGAAACAAACAGGACAGGGATGTTTATCCCAGCACACTTTGTTGTAGTGCAGCTACATCACATTTCTACCAGAAGCAGCTGCCTCAATCCTATCCTGTCCTACCTAGTGCTGCACATCTTGTGGGATGGTGCAGGAGCTGCCTGGAAAACAGGGGAGTTTCCAGAGTTCTGCTTTGTGAGACTTAAACATGTTCTTCCCAAGTATTTTGGTAGGAATATCATCATGCTTCTCTGCTGTCTGGATTTGGAATGAAAGAACAGAGCAGGTAAATAATCTTCTGCTTTCCCTTCCTGGGCACCCACTCATCAATTGGCTGTTATATCCACGTCTACATGAGAGTATTGCACACAAGCAGCACATGGGGCTTTAGAAAATCAATAGCTTCCATGTTATATTATCAAATTTCCTACTTTCTTTCCTTATGGAAACCAAGGAAACTTCGTGTCTGTGTGGGTCAGCCACTGCAGAAAGCAATAATGCATCAAAATCAACTTTAAAGCAGCACTAGTTAAGTGCAATAGACCAAATATTGCCTGCTACAGCATGCAGCCAGTATGAAACAAGCAGAAATAAAATCAGAGATGCAATTAAAAAGTTCTGTTAAAGGTACCTGATATTAGGCACCAGATCCATGTGGCCATTAAGGTCTGGCACGAGCACAAGGGGCCTGCAGAGGTTTGTGTAAGGGATGGAGCTCCTTGGGACCCATTAACAACCTCAGCAGCCCTTCCCCCAGACACCAGGCAATGTAACAGAATTCCTACATCTCAAAAACCCACTCTATAAACAGAGATGAAATCTGAATATTCAAACCTCCAGCCCTCCTGCTGAGCACAGCTGAGCGTG